TAATCGTCTCTCATTAGTCTTTGTTGACACACTGCCTGTTGGCCGATTCCAGGGCAGTCCTGATTAAAAGGTGCTAGTGGTGCAGCCAGTGGTAGTGAACATGGTGCTAGTGGTGCAGCCAGTGGTAGTGAACATGGTGCTAGTGGTGCAGCCAGTGGTAGTGAACATGGTGCTAGTGGTGCAGCCAGTGGTAGTGAACATGGTGCTAGTGGTGCAGCCAGTGGTAGTGAACATGGTGCTAGTGGTGCAGCCAGTGGTAGTGAACGTGGTGCTAGTGGTGCAGCCAGTGGTAGTGAACGTGGTGCTAGTGGTGAAGGAGATGGTGATGGAAATGATGCAAGAGCTGATAGTGTAAATGGTGTTAGTAGTGAAAGAGGAGTTGGTGTAAATGATAATACTGTATTGTTTATTGGGTACAAAAATATCCTTACATCCTTCTCCTCCTCATCCCTTTTCCCGTCAACATTTCCTTTCACTTCCCTCTTACTTCTTTCTTACATCTTCCTCTTACCACCCCCCTCCTCTACCTCTTTTTACACCCACCCCTTCCCTTCCCTACCTAATTCCACTCACAAGATCCACCCTCGTTTCCACCTCTCACACAACAACAACAACAACAACAACAACAACAACAACAACAACAACAACAACTCATACAAACTCCGGTAAATAAATGTGATGAATACAACACAAGTGGCCACAACATGAGTTACAAAGGACTATAAATCATACCAAAATAATAAACTTCACAAACAATTAAATTGTTACATAGTTCCTAAATAGCCCTTGAAAACTTTTAGCTTGGTTGGCCATTTACGTCTTTCGTTAATTGGTCATTAATCGGGATTTTTTGTCAGCCAATGACAAAGCTGTGATGTGTGTAGAGACCCTAACCAGCATGGCTATCAGATTTTCTCGGTGCATTATCAAGGACACCGAACAACTGGCTGGACATTAACTGTATATAACTACTGTAACAATTGACAGAGGCAATTATCTCAGTCATGTGTTTGTTTTAATAAATAAACAACGCAGGGAGAGATGAGACAAGTGTGGTTGTCATGTGCAGCCACTTGGGTGGCTCCACGCCGGAGACCAGAGTTATTTAGAGCATGATAACTTGACATGATTGACGTTATATGCCAGGCAAAACACAGGAGCGCCACTGAGTGTTAGTCCAGGGTATAAATAAGTTGGTAAGCAGAGGTCTGCAAAATGGAACTGCAACATAAATCTTTTGAGCTTTCCCATAATCATCTCGTAAGTATATTGAGGGTGTACAGCTCGTCAAAACACTGAAAATATCTACAAAATAGGGAAAGTGATAAGATTTCCCTGTCAATAGGCAATGCTGAAAATTCTCTGATAAGGTCATTATGATAGCTTTTGTTGCATTGCGTCAAACAAGAGATAACATCAGTATTCTAGTGCACGTGAATTACATAAATTATTGCCAACAGTTCACTGGTAAATTAGGTCTTTGCTCTGAACATGACCCCAGTCTTCATTACTGAAGCTTTGGTTAAATATTATATCAGAATTTGTTTTACAAAATCCATTAATGTATATTCTGTTCATCGCATCCACCATAAATGTTCTTTTCCCTGTTATCTGCAATATTGACACCTGTATGAGTTAACGTTAACAGAATATATATATATATATATACATATATTTCATGTAAATCCACAATGAAAACGTGGATAAGATAAATCTTGATAAAATCACACGATATATATATATATATATATATATATATATATATATATATATATATATATATATATATATATATATATATATATATGCAAGTAACTACTAGGTACGTGACTATAGAAGGCATCATAGAATATGAAAGGCGCTGTAATTACATTCGTGCGAGTACTCACCCTGAAGATGGAATTGCGCTTGAATCAGCTTTTTTTCCTTAGAAATATTAGCATATATATATATATATATATATATATATATATATATATATATATATATATATATATATATATATATATATATATATATAAATTTTTCACGAAAACTATGGTATGGATGCCACTAAAGATTTAGAACAATGAACATTGTTCTAAATCTTCATTAGCATATCACAGCTTTCGCGAATTTGATATTTTAATTCACTTTCCGCTTTATGAAAACACTGAAACAGAGATTACATATAATACCTATTTTTCAATTCAAAATCACTAGAGAGACAAGAAACAAGGGAAAATATTCTTATCTCTCTTTATGAGAAATAACAATGAGAGGGAACCTCTCTGCCCGAAGAGGCAAACTGTATTAAGAAGACTCCGTGAATGTCGCCTCTAATGCCTCATTGATTACGGTCTGAATTACGCTGCACCAATTGACTCCCGCTGCTGGCCGGATTGAATCAAAACACAACTTCGCCAGATTTACGAGAGTGCTCTTCTGAAGTAAATTAATTTTGTTGTTGTGTAGGAGAGACCAGGATAGGGAACACATATTACCTTTAGTGACGCAATAAGTTATATGTGAATTTATTTGTGGGAAAAGAAGTAAGTGGTGGCCCGTCTGCCTTATATTGATTGTATTGTTCATTTTTAGAGTTTAAGATTTCAACGAGACATTAAAAAAGTCACGTTGATTATGCTTTCAGAAATTATACTTGATACCTGACACGCCTTATCATTTAGATTTTGATCAAGGTTATGCTTTAACTTCAATTATCAAGAGTGACGACTTATCTGTGTAGGTTAAACTTGAGTGGCTGTTGAGAACCTGATGGTGTCTAGGTCGAGCCAGAAAAAAATGTATACAACTTTTATCTAACTCTCACAGGCGCGGGTAAAGGCCGTAAAATGGCTGCCGTTCACTCATCGGTAAAGTCTTGCCTTCAAACACACCGTAAGTCCAGGATTTATTGTAATAGTTATGACTATAGAACTGACAAATCCTATCGCCTTAGGATTTCATGTTAAAGTGACACCAAAATCTCAATGTTATGATGAAATAATTACGTTATTAAAATCTATATTCATATTTCGACGCCAATCTTGTTCGTGAATATTATGTAGTTTTTATTTTTGTAACACCGAATGAAAATAAAAGTTGGATACACATACAAAAAAAAATCCTGACTCAAACAAATCTTAAACAGCGAAATACAAACAGTCTATGTACACTCGCACCAAAAAGTATCGATGCAGGGCGAGATCGACGAGTTCCGAAACGATACATATACACTGTGATATGTCGGGAAGGTTGGTAAGTGTAGCTTCATAACCCCCACCCCCCCTCCACTAGGTGTTGCCATATGGCTGACAATCAGGGCTGCCAAAATACGGCTGGAACAACTCGCCTTTCCCAATACCTATCGTCACTGGTCTCAAATTGTTCACACTACAGTATGCACCGATACTTTTTGTTGCGAGTGTACCTTAGAGTTTAATTTCCTTTGGTTTGTATAATATCTTTTACTATTTTTAAACTGCCATATATTTTTAGGTTAATAAGAAGGTAAACGTTAATTGTACATCAATATTTGTGCTCATATATTAAAAACAAAAAAATCACAAAAGGTAAATGAGTCATTGAAGACAGTGATAGAAAATGATGTTATAGTTGAGTCACTCCTAAAATAGTGGAAGTAGAAAACCTAAGAGGAATACAGAGAAAATTAAATCTTATAGGTAACTACAATATATTTCATACACACGGGAATAATATGTAGGCTGATCTAATTGTTGGACTTAACCTGTCACTCTGTAATTGTTATTTACCACTCACATCTCTGGGTCCTGTACTGAGAGTATTAGTAAGGTTTAGTGTACAGGTAGACTGAGTTGATTCGGTTGTGTGGCGATAATAAAGGAAAATATTTGGGTTAAGAGTTTCATAAGTTTGAATGTGGAAGGTTGAAGAGCCAGTGGTAGGTCATGGGGAGAGGTTGTAAGGAATGACCCCAGAGATAAGAACCTGACAAGTGAAGCTGCACGAAACCTTGCATCATGGAGCGCTGTCATCAAGTAATCACAGCTAACCCACGCAAGCGAGGAAAGAGACCGTGAAACATTGATGATGATGATGATGATGATGATGGTACCTTGATTTCTTAAATTACATTCGCTCTCTCTCCTTAGGTCTGTTTCTCAAAGGATCCATTTCATCCTTCAGTTTCTGTGTATTTCTTATAACTTCCCATTTTGCTTTTCCATTGTTAAAGTTTATCATCATGGGAGTAGCTTTCCCATAGACTTTTTTTAGATCTGACTTGATCACTTTTTCCATGCTGAGGTCTGTCACTGCTTATGGCTTTTCAAAAATATCCCAATACTTTTTTATATCTCCATGCTGCTAGTGGCGGGTCAGCGACAGTTACTGAAGAGATACCGGGGGGTGCTTGAGCCCTCATTTGATAAGTATAATGAGATAGTGGCTACCTGTGTGAGGCAGCCAAAGATGTAAAGGAAAACGATAGGGATTTGTTGGTGTTTTTTTTCCCAAAAGAGACAGAAAAACGAGTCAAGGAGATAAAGTTTGTCCCCGAGTCATCTGTTCCATGCAATCGACGTGTAGCGTTCAATCAAAGTCGTGGCTTGGTTTACGCGACCGACATTTTACATCGTCCAGAGACAGACAATTTGGAGGCCTTACAGACATAACACATGATCCAAAGTCGTGAATGAGAGGAGACAGATGGCTGGAGTGTTCTCTCGTACACCAAGACCCTAGGACTCAGGTGATACACACTGAACCAATGTGATAGTCCGGCTTAATATCACTATTTACTACATGGCCGATAGTCTATATATACAAAACCAATAACTAATTAATGTTACTCTGATGAAATAACGTTTTATATAAATCGTATAACAGCGGTAACTTGATGAACGTTAATGTAAAGATGTACGGCTGATCATCGGGGTAGTGGCGGCCATGAAGTGTAGTGCCGGGTCACACTGCAGCTTTCTTCAGCGTGCTATACCTTATGACTCCTGGGACGCACCTTCAATAAAATACACATCAATTAAGTGTATATTTATTTCACAAGAGCTACACACTAACTAGACTGCAGCCGGCCCTAATTACATACAACTGATTTCAATAAATATTTCAGAGTATGACAATGTACACCCACACCCGGCGACCAGCACAAACCTCTTAATATACTAAAAAAAACAAATGGATGAGTATTGTGATATATACGTGTTAAGTTAGTCGTTCTGTGATGCTCTTAGGTGTATCTTCTTGGCGCTGTGAATTTAATAGTTTCAGTTTCAACTATTTCACATTTGAATTACTAAAAAATAACAATGTCTTTCTTAATATAATAATAGTGTTAAATATCTTAACCTAAATAAAAAAATAGTCTGAAAATTAGCTTATACGTGAAATTTTGCTACAGGTGTTGACAAAAGGTTGTACTCAATAACCTTAAACATAAATATCTTTCTAGATTGTCCAAATTGAGGTGTTATAAGGTTACACGACACAATACCGTATGATACAAGAAGATGATGACCTAGTATGGATATTTTGTACCATTCATGGCTTACATGTGTACGTAAACATATATTTATAAAACATTCGCATCTGAGACAGCGATACAGTTACATACTAGTTTCTGATTTATCAACTTACAGGCACAAGATACATAAATGCCTCTAAGTGGACATCCGTGAGAGAGGAGAACATCTAAACGTATAGCTCTCCTCTTGTGCCAGATCTCTTTACCACCGGTAGATAATAAACACAAATCTTGAGTACTGTGTCCGTCTGGCTTTATTTAATACGCTGATACAAAAACTGGCAGCTATAAATCATACCTTTAGTAATGATAAAGGTAATATAGTATACACCTATGGAAAATCATCTGGCAAAGGTTCCATTCATGATAAAAGATTCATGTTTGTCAGTGAGATGCTCAGATATTCCTGAACACACCTGACAGTACAAAGATCGTGGCCTGGACAGTGCGTCACTACCACCGAATGCGACAGTAATTTACCCTTTCTATTCATAAGACTAAATAAATAAATAAATAAATAAGTATAACAATATATACGAATCTAGAACGAATGATCCAGAAGTGAGCAAAAAATGAATAAAAATCATTGATCTCTCTGATATATGTGATAACTAAGCCTTCGGCTGTATTCTTCAAAGTAAACTTGGTTATGAGTTTTAAGTGTAAGTTATGAGGTATTTATTTTCCCCCCTTGACTAATACACGCCACTTTTAATGTTTGACTTGGACACACAAACACACACACACACGAGAATTTACGCACAACACTACCAACCAAACATATAGCTATTTCTTTTACTTTCTCTTTCTAAATCTCTACTAAAACAGATCAACATTAACACACACACACACACACACACACACACACACACACATTCTCACTCGCCCAGATCTGTCGTCAAGTGGCGGCCTTCTTATATCCCGTGCTAATCAACCTTCGACAGATGGAATGATTGTTCAAAATATCAATAATTTCTTTTTCTTTCAACCAATGTAAGAAAATTCACCAGTGTGTCACGTCATGGGGACCCAAGAGCACTGAAGCCCACAAGTTAGGTAAGGGGTCTTGTAGGATTGGAATCCATTAAACCTCTCACTATCCACAAAGAGTTTAGGTTTAAGCATCAGAGACAATCAAGAATTTACTCCTATATATATTATTTTTCTTTTAAACGATTGTAATATTTTTCTAAAGTTAATTGGGTTAACATCCATTGATTAAAAGGCACATATAACACCCAACAGAAGTCAAATACAAACTCTGGAATGTTGGTTTTGTAAATAATGAAGGATAGTTAAGACAATTGTGTGTTTTAGTACAGTATAGTGATTCTGGTAACTACAGCAGCAAGCAAATGGTCGGTCGCCTTACTTCAGGAATATTAAGTTTCATTAATATATACAACTCTTTTTTTTTCACATCTGGTTCAATGTATCAACTAAATGATTCATCACCAGGTGGCAATTATTGTACCTGAACTATTAATATCTAAACCTATACGCGTAGGGAAAATCTCTTGAATATATTTTGTGCGTATGAAACTAATCTCAAGGTTTAGTTTTCTGCTCAATGACAGAATCGACCAGAAAGGATATTTAAAACTCTGAACTTTGCTCGAGTCATTCTTTCATTGTTTATATTTCTGTTCTAACTTCCATTACCCAACACATAACTATTTGTTCTGTCATTGGAAATAACACAAGTGAAAATGATCGACCATACCGCCGCCCAAAAAAAATCACACACCAGATGATAATAGGTCTAAGAATTATCTGTTATAAGGAGTATTATATAAACCTAATACATTCCACAGTTTACACTCGTTAGACAGATCTTATTTCTATGACATAAAAATATCTTCCATATGAATGAATCAAATCAATATCTACCGCACAGGTTATCACAAGACTCACGCATTACTTTGTTGTTTCATGATTGATTTACAACTCGATAACTCCTATACTTATTATTTTTTTACTTTCACCTTCAATCCTATTTAATTATATATAAAAAATTGCAGACGTAAGTATTTATTAGTTTAGGTGAATATATATACCTAACATTAATGAACTAATTCTTTATCTACATGAAGTATGTGATGTTTCAGTACTGTAAAATAAAAAAAACTTGGAGATAACACTGTTCCTGGTTGGTCTACATACATGTACAGTACGTCACTTGCAGGTCAATAATTCTCTGGGCATTCAAGAGGACAGACTGTTGAAGCACTCCCAGTAAATAAAAAAAAGAAAAAAGACGCTTCTCTCCTCAGCCTCAACACAACTCAAAAAAATCTTGGGGATTTTTTTTTTTTAAACCCTTAACTCAAGGCTCCATTGAGGTCATACCCTATGGATAAAATTTTCCAACACAAAGACTTACTCCGAGGATTTTTTGGCCTTTACTTGATAAAAAAAAAGTTCTCTCAAAGGTTCCGTGCATAGCTTCTTTAAGTATCGTGACTGAACGAAGTATAACACACAATCCTCGCTGAATGTCACAACTTGGAAATATTTTTTGGAGGAGTGAGGATCGGCAGAGATTACGTAAAAAGATCAGGAACTTTTTAGTTTTCTTCTCGTGTACGCTAGTCGAAGAAATTTTCATATGTATCTTTTCCACTCAAGGCTCGGGAAGTAGGGCCCACAGGTACAGGAACAGGTGGTTTGTTAATGAGTTTCTTCAGTTTAACTTGCTGTATCTTTTTATTCTTTGCTTGTAGTTTATCACGTAGTTCCTTCAGGTGTGTTTCTCTGTAATGGTAGAGAATAAACAAGGTTTTAATACGTAGATGCAGTAGTATGGTAAAATGGGTTCTATTAACGGAATGTGTGTCAGGCTATTATCATTATGAATAGAGTAGTTGTTTAGGTACGTTTCCCCGTGTGTGTGTGTGTGTGTGTGTGTGTGTGTGTGTGTGTGTGTGTGTGTGTGTGTGTGTGTGTGTGTGTGTGTGTCCTGGTTATTTGTATATATACCCCAGTAATGGATAAGTTACTATAAAGTTTTCATCATCATCATCATCATCATCATCATTATCATCATCTTCTATAAACTCATCATACGGACCACCACCACCACCACGTGACTCACCTCTTCTCGAGAGCCGCGTCGTTCTGTTGGGTTAATTTAGACTGCAGTTCTTGTCGTCTCTTCGCCTCAGGGTCGTCTTTCTTGTACAGCGACGCCATCTTCTCCTTAAACGAATCCAACTCCGCCTGATGAGGGACAAAAAATATCTGATTACATTTTATCAATTCAAAAGAGAAGAGTAACACATACACACACACACATACGCACATACGTTGTACTGTACGTGTTAAAACAAACATATTACGGGGGGGGGGGTGCAGTTAAAAAGTCAAAGTAATAAGGTGCCATCCTGTAATAAATGTATGCACTATTTATTTTTTTAATCTATAATGTTATAATAATTGTCACCTTCTGTACACCTTTACTCCAAATGAATGAGAGAGAGAGAGAGAGAGAGAGAGAGAGAGAGAGAGAGAGAGAGAGAGAGAGAGAGAGAGAGAGAGAGCTGACTTACCTGTCGTCTTTCATTGGCCAGGTGCATCTTCATACTGACGTCATGTTCGGTCTTATCACGGAGGCTGAACTTGTTCCTCTGAGACTCGAGGTGTTGGCGTGTTACCTCTGGCAGGAAGTCCTGTAGGAGAAGAAGGTCATCAGTTGGGAGGTCAAGGCAGGTCATGGAGTTTTAGAGCGAGTCAAAGTGTCGTCTTTATCTCATTCCCCCTAGAGACACACCCAGCCCTTCTTTTCTCCACCTTCACATATACAGTCTTTAACCCATCACACACACACACACACACACGCACACACACACACACACACACACACACACACACACACACACACACACACACACAACACACACACACACACACACACACACACACACACACACACACACACACACACACTCTTACACCCACACCCTCACCTTAGGCCTGAACTTGTTGCTACCAGCAGACTCGGTTTGTGGGGTCGCCTCTATGATCTCGTAAGCGACACCGGTGGCAACTTTCTGCCTCGAGGTGGCGATGAAACCTTCCTCCCTCAGCGCCTCCAGGATAGACTGCTCCTCTTGTCGGGCCTTCTGGTAACCGCTCAGGAGACGAGGACACTGTTTCCCCGTTATCGTCAGATCTGTGATGGTAGAGTGTAATTAAAGGTCAAATTCTCTCCCCGAATATTTTAAGTTGTTCCAGCATTTATTCTTGAAAATAGACAACGCAAAGCAACCAAAATTAACCTAACCAAACCAGTGATTTTTAGGGATGCAAGACGATATGAACTAATCAAAACTACAACAGAGAATTCTTATCATTCATAATATTCTCTAATTACTATTCTTGTTACGCGCTTAAAGACGTTAGTGGTTGATGCGCAATAACACAACATTTTATACCGTTAATGTCATCTGTTTTAGCGGTCATGGTCGTGGTAGTACATTAACATAGTACATTATTTATATACAATGGCCCCCCCTCCCTTCCTCTCTTGTAATTTTGATTGGTGGTTAATTTAGCGTTTATGAAGAATTATAATGTCTATGAATGTAGTAACAGAGAAGTGGAGAGAATAATATATGGAGAATAGAAATTAAGAGACGATACAGTAGCAAAACAAAAGAAGAGAAGTAAGAGAATGGAAGGAGAGGAAAGAGACTAATAAACAAGAAGGAAAAGATCGAAAGAGAGAATACCAGTAGAGGAATAAAAGAGAAAAAATGAAAGAGAGAATGACAGGACATAATAAAAAGAGATAAATCGAGAAGGAGAAGATGGAATGAGAGAATGCAAGGAGAGATAGTAAACAAAAAGAGAGACGAGTAGAGAGAAAGAAGGAGAGAGGACATCAAAAGCCTCCATAGGAACATACAGTAAAGTAACTCCTCACTCACCAAGGTTCTCCACAGGCATAAAGTCCGCCTCTACCCTCTTGATCAGCTCCGGGGGTGAGTTCTCAGTGATGACGAACGAGTAATCATCGTCTAAATCGTAGATACCAGAGTCGCTTGAATCCACGCTCCTGGCTGACGAGGAAGTGGGCGGAGTCACAGAGGACGTAGGCGGGGCTCCAGGAGACTTTAACCATAGTGCTCTACCTCTTCTACAGTCAAGAGATTCCTTTAAGATAAGATAAGATATCATTAGTATCTGTCTGTCCCGGATTCTTGTTGATATAGTATATAATTTATATAAACAAACTGACATAAGCTATAAGTAACTGCAAGGATTCATAAGTACTGTAATCTAACAAGAGAAACAAAAGAAAGATAAAAAATAATAAAAATTCTAACCTTTTCGAGTGTATCTTGTCACTGGTTCCTAAAGTCATTCTCTGGAGGCTATACACTTCAGGGCCGATAATGTAAAGTTTATAATCCTCAAACGGTTAAACTATCGTTATTTAAGAGATAATCCGAGAAGAGTATTCCATCACTCTCCTATCATCATCATCATTATCATCATCATCATTACCATCGAGTCACAAATCAATAAAATTAAATAACATAAAAGCATTCGATCCTCTTCCCACTAACACACCAAAGTCAATCCCAAACTTGCGGTAGAATGGGTGAACGGAGGGGCTGGCTGGGTGTTGAGAGAGACAGTATATGTATGGGTGGAAGAGTTGGGTGGTGATGGCAATGAGGAAGTGGGGGGAAGGTTGCAGTTTAGACCCCCCCCCCCCATCGCCACTCTTCTTGAAACTTGAATCACTCACAAAGTTCACTCATAAATGCCACCCGGTCACCTAAAGGTTCGTCTAATATTTAACTCTCAAGGTAAAGTATCCAACCCCGTAAAGACTGACTGACCTAATTCTCCTGAAAGTTTAGGATGCGAACGGAGGGGCGAAGAGTGTATTGTGCGGAGGTAGCATGAGGTAGGATGTGAGTGGGCATGGATGAAGGGGGTGAGGCAGGATGTGTGGGATGGATGTAGGTGGAAGGGGGTGTGAAGGAGGATGTGGGAGGAAGATTGTAAGAGGATGTGGATGGTGAGGGTAAGGGAGGGTGTAGGAGGAGGGGTGAGAAAGTGTGTAGGATATGTGGATGGATGAAGAATGCAGAATATATGGGGCGGCAAAGCGGTGGTGGAGGACTAGTTAGTGCCCACACACACACACACACGCTTACACATACACACATACATACGAACACATATAAGTACAGGTGTATATATGCAGTATAAAATGACAGGTACGTTTCCTAGTATACATATATAAGCAAAGGTAGATATATACTATAGTACTAGTATTCGATGCAGGTACTACGTGTAGGTACAAATATTTGATAATACCAGTAATATACAAACAGTACCCGGGAACAACTCTCTTAACACCATGAGTACAATAACGTAACCCCTGGAGTACAATGACATAACCCCTCGAGTACAATGACACAACCCTTCGAGTATAATGACATATTCCCTCGAGTACAATGACATAACCCCTCGAGTACAATGACATAACCCCTCGAGTACAATGACATAACCCCCCCCGAGTTTGATCGCATTGTACTGGAGGATAAGGTCAAGTCATCCCCCACAAAGGTCCTGGGCCCTTAAGAATCGATAACCTTTTTCTTGGACTCATTTTGTTCGAGGAATTCCAAAGCTTCGGTGAGCAAGTATCCGTGTAAAGTTCAGCTCAACGCCAGCAACTACACACATGAAACGTGCGTCAAATATGCGTATAACTTTTGTTTTTATGACTTACTAGAAAGAGACTAAACTAGCACATTAATTGTTCTAAGAAAGAGTGTGGTTATAGAGTTACTATTTGCTGGATTACTACTAGCATACTAATATTCAGCCAGATAGTATAAGTAATAGTAGGTTTAATGTACGTCACTCAGCCTTATACCAAATCATGAACAAAATGACCCCAAGAAAAAAATGATAAGGAAAGCAAACTCAAAAATTGCCTCAAATATCACATGGACACAACCAACCCACAAGACCAATGAAAAATAAACTAAGAGCTTCTCGCGGCACCTGGAAGCGGTATAAGGGAGGGAGAGAAATGGGTTAGTCAGTCTTTAAGAGTTTCTCCTCAAAGCGGATTGGAACACCGTGGAAGCTCAGGGTCGGTCGGTTTATCTGTCTGTCTGTCTTCCTCTACTACAGTGATCAAATTAACCCAGAACCTTTTATACGTGTCTCTCTCTCTCTCAACACCTCGACGTAGAACAAAGGTCATACAGCGAGAAGTACAGGAGGTGACCTTTACATAGTGGGAAGACCGTGTGACGTCAAGGAGTAAAAGGTGAAGGGCAAGGACGATATCAACACTTCACACATGATATTGATCCGGTTAGGTTAGGTTTTTGATAAGGATAAAGTTAGGTTAAGTTTTAGTTAGTATTGGTCTTATCTTAGTTAGATATGAACATGAACTGGCCAGGTGAATGTGAACTGGATAGGTGAATGTGAACTGGATAGGTGAATGTGAACTGGCCAGGTGAACATTAATTGGACATGACTCTCCCCTTGCACGTATTCAAATTATCCAGGATATTAACATTCCGATGCCCAGTTCAACATTAACTTCACCTAACCCCCCCAAAAAAAAATAAAAAATCCGCGTTAGTTATTAAAGACACCAGGTAACAGAGGCATTATATAGCGTTATTTATTTATTTACACACACACACACACACACACACACACACACACACACACACACACACAGAGCTAATACACTCTCCAAGGCTTTTATTTACACACCTGAGCTAAAATTTTTCACACTCTCCTCTTGAATATTTCAGGTAGAATAAACACAACACCTTACCTGTGATTAGTGTTTAATAAATTACAACCTACACCTTAAATTCTCAAATAACGTGAGTTTTTTTTTCCATCTTATTTTTGTCATGTTTTATATCATGAAATCTTTCGTTATAGGAATCTTATGGTACTTGTGTCTATACCTGTACCTGTAACTCTGTCCTCTAGTTTAATGATTTGTTCGGTTAGGTTAGGTTAGGTTAGGTTAGGTTAGGTTATATACGAATGTGGTTTTTTTATTTAGCATATATTAAAATCGGTTAAGTATTGTGAGGATAAATTAAGTTACGAATATAATATATTTAGGTAGAGTAAGTCAGGATTCCTTACACTCTACAGAAGCCATCTATCTTGTTGCACCATCTGGGAGAAACTAACTACATGGACGACTGAACGACTGGAGTCCAGATATTGAGTGAGGTGTCTGGTGGAGCCGAGGGAGGTGCCGAGGTCGGGTGCCGAGGGGGGTGCCGAGTGCGTGTTGTACAAGTGCCACGTTATTGAACACGGTTGGCACTCCTTCCCTTCCCTCCTCTCACCCTCTCCTTCCTTCTTCCCTCACACTTCCCCTTCCGAATTCTCCCTCCTACCCCCCCCCATTCCCTCACATTTCCCTTTCCCACATCCACCCTCACCTAAATCTAACACATATTCCACCTTCTCGCCTTCCCTTCCTTCAAAATCCCTTCCCTACTCTTCTTCCACCTACATCACACTCCTTCCAACTCCTCCTTTCCCACATACCTTCCCCTTTTCCATAATTATCTTTAACTAAAACTACTTTCCACTTTTCCCTTCCTATCTTTATCAAATTCTTCCCTTCCTTCTCTCACATCTTCATAAACCTCACACACCTCTCATTACCTCCCATCTTTCTCTCTCTCTCCCCTGTTCCTTTCCTCTCTCTCTCTCTCCCTACTGTGACCTTGGTGAGAGAGGTGGCACTCCCCCCCCCCTCCTCCACCTCACGCTTTTCCGGCACCTGTCAATATCTTATGGCCTGTATACAGAGACCCGGAGTCGGTTCGGTTCCATTGGGTGTCAAGACTAATACCCGAACCCGAAACCAAATGTAAACAAAAGCTGCAGGTTATGTAACGGGTAGGTTAGGTTAGGTTATGTAAAGGTTAAGTTAGATTAGCTTAAGTTGGGGAAGGGTAGATTAGGTTAAGTAAGATTAGGTTTTGAGTAGATTAGGTTAAGTTAGGGTGTGTTGAGGGGAAGTTAAGCTATATTTGGGTATATTAAGTGATAATTTATTTGGGATAAGTAAGTTATTCTATATTTGGACTCGATGTGTACAGCATACCAACAGACAGATTTAATCAACCATTATTTACATATTGTCTATGTAAATGGTGTTCTATGTCATAAACAATATCTAAGAAACGTCATTTTCTTTATCATCCCAACATATAGGGTAAACTTCCCTATATAAAGACACGGGGTCACGTTCAATATCATGATGTACTGTATATAAATCAATAACGTGAGTCTCTTCTTGGTTGTTTATTATTTATAAACACAACCATGGCAACTGAATAATGAAAAAGATTGTATGTTAAATATTTCACTGAATGACGAGTACTAGAATTCATGTTACCTGGGCAACTTAAACTAGACCATGGCGTCAATATCACACTTGGACTACCTGATTTGAGGAGAATTATTATCATGGGAATATTTTACAAGGGAAGAATAACATTGTTGCTTGAATATGGGGGGAGGGGGGAATGTGGGGTGAGGGATGAGGTAAGAAGGGGTTGGGGGGTTAATGGGGGAGATGTAGGGAGGGGGGTGAGGAAGGATGTAAGGAAGGGGTGAAGGTGGATGTAACAAGTGTTGCACCCATGGTAACCATAACAAGTGTGCACGACGAAGGGAATATAGTGGCAAGATAAACAAAGGAAAAATATGGCGGCTATGCAAGAACAAAAGAAAGAGAGAGAGAGAGAGAGAGAGAGAGAGAGAGAGAGAGAGAGAGAGAGAGAGAGAGAGAGAGAGAGAGAGAGAGAGAGAGAGAGAATTGTTAATATTACCAGGAACCATCGTGATGACACACCAGTTAGCTGTTTAAGTTATGCCTAAACATTCCCTGTACCGGTAAGTGTTCTATCTACCCCCGCTGTTATGTCACTGTATAATACTCCTAATATGATGATAATTGATATTCTGAGATAAGAGAGAAGAAGGGCGAGAAAGGCAAACAGATACAGATATATTGTCCAGTATATGATCATTATAATTATATACAGTATATCAGTGGCTCCTACAGTGTTGTTCATGGTGAAGAAACCGACCAATCAGCCAGGCACTCATGGATGACGTCACAC